ATACAACGCTATCACAAAGATGTCCACTAGACACCAGTGAAATAATTAAGAGCTTAAAATTCTGTCTAGAAAGTAATTATTTTACATTTAAAGGGAGTTTATATAGACAGACAAATGGTGTTGCTATGGGTTCACCAGTCTCCCCAATAGTCGCCGATCTTTACATGAATAAATTCGAAAATAATATCTTTTCAAGCATACTCACTCCTAAAATATGGTTAAGATATGTGGATGATACTTTTGTAGTACTAAAACGAGATCTACACAATTCATTCCTGGAGAAAATAAACTGTATATCTCCCAAAATCCAGTTCACTTCGGAAGCAGAATCAGACATCGGTGAACTACCATTTCTAGACTGCCTAGTTAAGAGAAAGGAAAACGGACATTTTAGTATATCCATATTCAGGAAGAAAACCCACTCCAATAAATATTTAGACTTCAAATCATCACACCCCATCAGCGCAAAGATTTCAGTTGTTTCAAGTCTTCTTAGACGAGCACACTCTGATAACGGATGAGCAAGAAAAAGAAGAAGAAATATCAAACATTACTGAAACTCTCAAGCAAAACAACTACCCAAAGAACTTCATCAACAAAATCAACACAGACATTAAGTATGGCCGAAAATGCATTCCGAAAACATGGACTTCAACAGTCGTCATTCCATATAGAGCAGAGACGTCAGACGATATCAGAAGAGTACTCAATCAGCTCGACATTAGAGTTTTCTTCAAAACATCAGACACACTTCAAAGCAACCTTGTCCATATAAAAGACCAAATCCCGAAAGATTCTCTATCTAATTGTGTCTATAAAATAAAATGCTTGGAATGTGATGCGATCTACATCGGACAAACATCTCGAGAAATCAAAATCAGAAGAAATGAACACCGTAGAGCATCTCTTCGACCACCAAGAAATCCAATTGAACTAGAAAAACTTCAAAAATCATCAGCCATAGGTCTACATGCTATAGAATCAGGCCACAAAATTGATTTTGACAATATTGAAATAATCCAGAAAAACTTCAGAAACCACAAAGAACGTCTAATATCAGAAGCACTTCATATCAAGTGGAATCCAAATTGCCTGAATAGGAATGATGAACTAAAACAGAATCTGACCTGGCTACAACACCCCCTTCCCCAATGAAGTAGCAAAATCAACACAAATGTGATAAGCAAGTTCACTATGTAAACACACACTATTTTCATAATTCTACACACTGATAAAATCCAACAATCTACACTTGATTTTGTTATCTTTACCAATTCGCCAAGTTGACAACAAAAAACGACCCAGACTGACGAACGATAATCAAGTATTTCACAACCTACACTTAGTTTGGTTACTAATTATAATAAAGGTTTTTTGTATTTCCCAATGGATGGAAAACAAAACGATATTGCTTTAAGTGACGTTTTGCTATTTAATGCTAATAGCTTTCTCAAAGTATTTTTAAACCGGAATTCACAAAATCTCAACATATATATGCTTGTTTATATGGTTACTTTTTCACCAGAAGGTCCTGGGTTAAAATATCAGTGGGTGAGGATCGCCAGAGAGTTAAAAATCAAGATGAAACAGCTGTCCACTACTCCCTGGTTGTGCATTGGTTCTCCTTACTGATGCCAACTGGTGATCAAACCTGAGGCCAATTAAATTCCTACAAACCAAAATTTGGAGATCAAACAGTAGTGTTTTTTTTTGTTGAGAAATTAGAATGTCTATGATACCTGTAACAAAGATAAGATACTGGGCGTCTTGGTTGATTTACTTGGCTACCTGAATTTCCTTCCTAGGCACTACGTTTTATTTTTCTTAGTTCTTGTTGTTATAATCATTCAGTTATGTCTATGGGTTGCTAAACATATACACATTTTCAGTTGGTTTGCAAACTACTTTTATTCATTTCTGGGGGACTGAAGGAAAATATCATAGAGGAGTATGTCATTCTTCAGATGTGACAGGATTACATCACATGATGTACTGGAGATGGCTGTGTTACTTGAAATACCTGGATGAAGAGAAAGTATTCTGTGATAAACTACACTGAAAATTGTGCAAATTGTGTAAACTTAGAGTGTACAGTAAAGCTATTGTTATTCTTATTATTATGACAAAGCATGAATATCACTCATTTTAAGTTCATAGCATTAGATTTTCGAATGATTACCGCTACAGCTACCATCAGGTGTCTTCGTTTCAAATCATTTGAGAGATCCTATCTGATCTTTCAACAATACTTTGAAGGGTTTATAATACTGCAAGACAGTTTGATAGAGATAGTGTTCACCAGAACACAAGTAACATTATCACTTTTTTATCAGTTTTTATCAATGCAAAATGTTTATTTTGATAACATTTACACCCTATTCTTTCAGACTAAGTTCTAAGGTACTTGAGAATACCAGTGAAAACGACTTTTAGTCTTTTAGTCATAGACGTGTATATGAGTGGTATACAGTTACTCATCACCATCGTTCGTAGCATCCAGGATCATGCATTTATGCTTCCCTTGTTGATCCGAACTTATAGTATCAAGCAGATCACATGTTTTGGATTAGACACTAGTCCATAACTGGTGTAGTGTGTATGTGTCTGGTACTATCTCTGGTGCAGACTGACTTCTATCAGTCAAGTATGCAATGTGGCTACGATGCCAGGTGGCTAGTGTCCAAGCAAAAATATCCAATACAATCTTACAGGAGGCTAATCGCGAGCACAAATAGCTCAGCTGAAACGTCTCTGAATGCACCACTGAGTGATAGTGGCTTGAACCTCAGAGGGAACATGAATTCCTTCGAGAATGCAGGTATTTCTTGCTCATGAGTGCCAACTAGCATGAAACTTAGGTCAAGCAGGGCTTCCTGCCGATTGTCTTCAATTATCTAATACCAACAGACCATATTTTGTTATCCGAACAATTTCAGTTTTCCAAGGAAACTGTAATAAAATCCCACTTTATCGAAATGTGTAAACTGCAAATAGCGAATTAATTTACAGGCTGCAAATCTGATTTAATGTAACAGCAAGTCGCCTATGTAACCAGTCAGAATTAAGGTAGTTTAAAGTGATTCAGCTCTCTGAAGAGAGTCAATCTGACCACACTGTTGGTGAGCTATCTTCCTGTTCTACATATGCACTGAAGACACACTTGATGACGAAAAAAGAAATTTGACGCAAACTCTGGTTGATAACAATTATCCAGACAAGTTCATCAGGAGATATAAAGTAGTCAGAACACCAAGACCCACTCTACATCTCACCCCTAAGAAAGACGTGTATATCAAGCTACCCTATATGGGACATCAAAGCAGCTTGATAACTAGACAAAGGCTGAACGCTGCTGTTAAAAAGACTTTTTATGCAGCTAATATCATAATAATTGAGAATGTGAATCCAATATATCCATCTAAGCCCTTCGAACATGCGAAAAATGATGTCATATCCCACTGTATTTACCATTTTGAATGTACGTATGGACACACATACATAGGGAGCATTCATCGACCTCCCCAAGTAAGGACTTCAGAGCATATTCCTAAATAGCTCCAGAAACAAATGGAATCTTCAGAACCCACTAATGATGAGAACAGACAACCTAGCTCCTCTGTTGCGAAACATATTATAGAGACAGGTCATAAAATTGATGTTGACAGATCTTTTAAACCTATCTATAAAACGTGTTTGGGGCGTATCCTGAAGTTTGTGGAAAACCCTAAAAATTAGAAAGTTTAAACCACCTTTATGCGGTCAAAGCGACAATTCGTCATCATTCTAAACCTTATTTGGTAAACTTTGTTTTGATATCAGCCAGGGTAGATGTACTATTACCTCTGTTATTTGGTTTAGTGGTCTTCATTGTTATTTTTACCTTCAATATGTCCTTTTAACTTGACCTAAGTGGTCTATTTTCTCACCTCTTGATTCTTTATTAATTTCATATGTATTCCTATGACAAGTCCGTGTGTGATCAGATTGTTCGAAATGTGTTGCTCAAATACATTACACGATTTATTTATTTTGTTTATTTAACTATTCTATGCACGTATCCCTTATTACTGTGATTATTAGTTTACAAAGTGAGCTTGCTATTAGTCTAGTAACTGGGACGGAGATCACTGGCCTATGAATTCTAGCTTTTTTCAACTGGCAATCAAATTCATAGACATGTCCACTGATCTTACTGTTAAATGCTTAGAAAAACAGAACTTGCAGTCGTAATCACTAAATATGGATTTCTATTACCACAGCTAAGTTAATGAATAAATCAAATAAAGGTAATTTGACCGGAAAATTAATGCATAGACAGAAACAGTGGAAATATTTTCTTTTTCATAGCTTTATGTCTGAATGATATATAATGCATAATGCGTATTGTAGAATTTGTAGACACACACACACATTAAGACTGGTCGTTCAACAGTGGATGAATTATAACTGCATTTAAAATAACGAAAGTAAATATATTCAAGGAGTTATCCACACTGAAGAAATTTTCCTTTAATGTGTCATCTCAGAGCTAAATTATTGATTGCTATCTCCTCTGACCAGAAAAATAGAGTTATCTGGGCTCTTGAAAAACACCAAAAAGTTGGTCATATTTCAAACCAAACCTTTCATGATTTACTTGTAGTATAGTGATCCTTGTGGCCTGGTGGATAATGCTTTGATGCGTTAGTGGTTCAGTTACAGAATACCAGTCAACCACGCCTCACGTAGTCAACGGTCAGATCCCCGACCAACGAACTCCTTACATCTTGTTTAACTGGTTGTAAGATCGGTTGTGGCGCCATTTGGCTAGCACCTGTAGACAACACCACTGTTGCCGAAACCTCAAAGCACGAGTCTGAAGCCCTACGTGCCACTGAGAACGCAAAAGAATAAAACAGTAATTATTATTAGATCTCATGACTTATGTCCAATCGTTTGTCTTGTCTTTTATTTTCACTGATCGCTTTGATTTTTGTTGTTTTATTTTATAACATTTATAGTATCATCGGCAAGAACAGAAATCATATTTTACAGCATCTGTTGACACTGAACAACAAGCCTATCACAATTATTGTAATACACTGTTATATTTCAATTCAGCTTTCACTGTTATGTTCTCAATTGAATGTATGCTAAAGATAATGGCATTTGGACCAAAGGTTAGTTGCCTTTATACGGTGCAAAAATGGTATACAGCTGTTTGTACATAATTTCTTTTGTGTATAACTTATGCTTTGTGGCATTCAAAGAATTTCTTTTGGACGCTTATCAGCATCTCATCCCATAAAATTGGATTTTTAGTGTCTACAGGTACAACGAATATAAAGAAGCTATTTATTAACACTGATGAAGATAAACGATCGACAGCAACAACCTGCACCAATCACCATCAACGGGAGAGAATTAACACAGGTCACCTCCTTCACTTATATAGGAATCACTGTTTCAACTAAAGGAGGAGGGTATGGACGAGGATGTCAAAGAAGGCCAGAATCGGTGATGCAAGGTATACTTTTATCAACTTGAAACCAATTTGGAAATCTTCTATCCTCAGTCAACATAAAGGACGAAATTCGGATTTTAAACAGCAATGACAAGTTAGTCAATTCTACTTTAAAGGTCAGAAAATTGCACTGGGTGTCACGAGAAGGATTTCCAACAGGTTGTAGACTTTTATCAACAGCTACCACCTTCTCTGCCTCCATACTGAAGATCAAATGGCGGGTCAGAACGAATTAGCAACAAGAAAATTTGGCTAGGGAACAAATCAGTGAACAAGAGCCGATCACTCAACAAATATGTAGGAGAAAATGGAAATGGATTGGACATACGTTGAGGAGGCCATCGTTCGATTGAAATCCCATTGGGAAGTGATGAGTGGGTCTTCGGTGAGATGGTTACATGGAGGAGATTGTGTGGCGAAAAGATGAGAGATTATGGTCAATCGAGGACCTAGGTGAAGAGAACGGCAGGAGATACGAAAAAATGGAGGTGTGTTGTTGAAGACCTTTGTTCTGATCGGAACTCAAAAGAACAATAATAATTTATTAACACTCATGTTTGTTCGCTGATAAAACTGAATCGAATCGATAAGTGTCATATGGTCTGCTTGATAGATAGATAACATCTGTTACACCCAGGGTCTAATCAAAGTAAACCAACAGTATCTACCAGAGTTACAAATCTTCTCCATTAAATATTTGTGAAAGGGTTAATTAAGTGATCAAAGCCAGAAATAAGTAGTGAGGTAAACATAAACAACTCATGGTTATAAATTAGGTTACCAGGGTAGGTTTGATGTTATAACAAACAGGATTTTTATGACAAGGGATTCAACAAATATTTTTTCAAGTGGATTTAGAAGCCGTTTGTCTATAATATACTTTCCGTGTGGCTCATAGTCGAAATACTTGCTAAAAGCGTCGATAGTTCTCCCAAGTTTTCGAAATTTCTTCTTTCTCATTTATGAATATATTTTAAAATACGAAATGTCTATAGCAGTTAACCTGATATATACAGACATTTGTTTCAGATATAAGAGGTAGATTATGTAAATCCAGTCTAATTCACGCTGTGCTCTTCCTTTTTCTTTCTCTTATTGTTCAGAACTATTTTCGTGATCGTTGGAACATTTTCGACTTTATCACAGTCATAGGAAGTATAACTGATGTATTAGTTTCTGAGCTCCAGGTAAGTGAATAATAATTCCCGTTATCAATATGTCCCGTTGATATAGTAAACTCTCGAACTTTATTTTAGAATTTTTTAAAAAAATTCCTGAAAAAAGTGAATATCACTCAGGAAGTAGGCTCTCTCTTTAGCAAAGAGAGAGATAATAAAAATCTGACGCGATTGAAGTTATTTTGAATTTGGTTGAAATGTTAGGTCTTTGTTGACATGTACACGCTCTTCGAAGAAGCCTTGATGTAACTAGGCTGATTATGGGACAGGCTTTTCGTTTCATCTAAGACTTATTAGCTGGACTGGACACAGTGAGTGACAATGTTCTCAATGTCACGCGAATTCAGCACCCATTGTTTTAAACGTCAGAGTTGGCTACCATCAACCAAGAAAATTCGGTTTAAAAGATACGAATTTAGTGGAGGATATGAATACACTCAATATTAAAAAAACAACTGCCCTCGTTCCATACCGAAGATTAGATGACCAGAAAGAAGTAAGAACATGAAACTCTGGGAAAGAACCAACCAAGAACCTCTCAGCCAACATATATATGCTGATAGAAATGGAGATAGTTTGGGCACATACTGAGGAGACTGTCGGGTGACAGTGCGCTCCAAGCCATCGTTCAGCTGGAACATGAGCGGGAAACGACGAGTTGGATGTCCGAAGATGATATGGAGGAGATCGTATGAAGACGAGATGAGAGCTCATGAACAACCGTGTAGCCAGCTAAAAACGATTGAATAAAACAGGATGATAAGGAGATGTGTTGGTGAAGCTCTATGTTTTGCTTGGGACCTGAAGGAATAATAAAAATAATTGACAGCCAAACTATTAGTTAATTTATCAAGATAAAGTTAGAGGTTGTACGGTTCGACATCAGACAACTTCACTCGATATAGCACACAATGAGTGAAACAGTGTTGATAACTCGATGACATTTCGAGCACAATTTACTGCTACTCATAATCATATCATCAAATTCACACAATTTATTATCTTGCTTTACAAAGTCCTAGTCCCCGTGTTTTTTTACTAAAACTTTCCATGTATCTAGTGTAGGCGTTACTTCAATTCGACTAAACATGTTTGGTGTTGATTCGATCAATAAAGATTCAGCGATTAATTTCCCTCTCCGCTTAATTAAATTACTCTTTAATACATTCACTCTAACCTACACTGTCATATGGTTTCGCGCAAGCGAATGCATTGCATCTACCTAGCGTAAATCCAGATTGTTGAACTTAGTAGGGTCAGTCGATCGAGTTCTAGCTACATTACCATGTTCCATTAATCTAACTGACATCGACATACTATTCTGCCCTATGTAACTGAACCCACAGTCTTTAGATGGTATTAGGCAAATTATATTATTTTTCTTATTAGGTCAGTCGGGTTCTTAACCAGAGAAAGTTTGTCTCTTAGTGAACTGGTTGGTTTAAATGTCATCCTTATCCTAAAGTTGATGAGAATCCTACTTATAGCTTCTGATGTTCCGTTTTATACCGCAGTACTATCTAGGCCTTCAGTTTCTTATTATTTATATTGCCAGCATAATTTTCATTACATCATTTATTCTTCTTCTATTGCCTCATAAATTTTTGAATAAACTCCGGTGGGTAGTTATTCACTAACAATGTTTTCCTTAATTGTTTGATTTCATTATCTAAATCTTCTACTTTACCAGTCAGGCTCTTGGCTCGATTATAGATAAACATTTTATTAAACTTCTCTTTACCGAGACTAGGTAGGATAAATCAAAATCTAAGTATTTATTAGAACGCGCTGGTTTCCTAAAGATACTAGCACTTAACCCACTATCCGATTTTTGTTTCATTTTATGGTTCAGTATAGGTAATTCTGTTCATTTTTTAACTCAAAGTGAATTGGATTCTACTTACTACTGAGTTTGTGTGGATAATTTTAGGGTAGGCTTAGATTTCAACACACTGAATATGTTATCTGCGCACGTCTACGGTAGTGTCGGAAGTCTTCACTTACATTGATGGAATCCTGTATGCACTTGTTTAATACCCGCATAGCCAAGAAAGGTCAAAGACAGGAGAATTGCAACTGTTAAACTGGTCCATCCTCCTAAAATTAACTTCAACTGTTTGCTTATGATATTACAAAACGTAGCTATAATACATGTCAACGAAGTCAGTTTTGTGATAAAGCGATTCACGTGTGTCTCTCAGTCCAAAGATGTACATAGAAAGCTATTTATAGTATGTCCATATTTTGATAAATATTGCTTGCAGGATGGTAAATACTGTCCAGATCTATTTGACTTGCTAGCGGTCCTCCTTCTCCTAATGGCTTTGTAACCAAATTCAATTGCATGATTGTAAACACCCCAGAAGTTAACACGAGTATTTTACTGGTTGACACTGTAGCATATATCGATAGTAAACTATGTGAACTCACCAGAATTAAGTCCAAATCCTTTGCCCAAACATCGTCTGTTTTTCTTAAGAAGTACAACACATGAAAAATGCAACGTGACATCTTTAAGTTCTTTAGATTTACACTTTTAGCGATTTGACTGGTTTTAAGGCATATTTCAGCCACTGAAAAGCTTTAAGGAGTGAGAAATTCCTCCGTCATCATTTTGGTATTTTCAACTGTTCTCAGAGGAGTTAGAATCAAGAATTTTCAGGTTCGCACTTTATTACACTATGAGGATGATTGGATTGTGTGGAACAATGGATTACAATGTGGTGGATGAATGGTGACATACCTGTTCGGTAACCTGAAGGAACTGGGTCCTGTTCGAGTAGATGCATGGGTTTGTAGTGTTGAAGAGATATAAAAACTGTTCACTGCTTGCTAGTTTCCTTTGATTTCATAATTGGTGTCTCTTACCACTGAATACAGGTCTCTCAGAATCTACAGTAATTTAATACCGTCCTGTGAACTGTTATATGAGTTACAAAGAAATTCCCTATGGCTTCACTTTTTGTATTTTCATTTCTATAGTGGTATATGGATTTATTATTCATTGGAATATTATACACTTAATCGTGAGTCGATGACTCACTGGTAGAGTGCTAATCAGCTATACGGGAGTTCAGCTTTGATCTCCACCCGACACGCTCATATACCTGGTGTAGTTCAGTAGCCTGTAGGAAGCCTTGAAAGGAGGAGAGGTTATATATACAACTAGCAGTCTCATCCTAGAAGATAGGACAACACTACAGCTGCATGAACTTCAAAGATTACAGCTTGAATTCCTGCATTTCACCCGGGATGCGAGGAATAAATAAAATGCAGCCGATTAAAATCGCGAGTGTGGTTTGGATACCCTACTGACAAAATCTTCGACTGATTAAGTTGGTGGAGCAGGGAGGCTAATTACCTCAACATTGTACGTACGTTTGGCTAATAAATGCCAAAATGCATAAAATCTAGGTTAAATATACTCCCAGACGGGTTGACTTCTAACGTCTTATTTATCGCCAGAAAAATTCTGTTGAAGTTATATACTCAAATGAATTTAAAAAGCACACAGTATAACCGCCAATTTCTAAAGGTGGAATCCTTATCCGTATACATACTGGTATTTTACATTCAAGGTAATGTCAACCTCTTGCCATTCATCTCTTTTCCATTTTTCTCTTTCTGCTATTTTAGGAGTCAGCATTTTTAAGTTTAGGATTTCTACGACTTTTTCGTGCAGCACGTTTAATCAAATTACTACGTCAAGGTTATAGTATACGTATTATCCTATGGACATTTATTCAGTCAATCAAAGCATTACCATATGTCTGTCTACTGATTACAATGCTATTCTTCATTTATTGTATTATTGGAATGCAGGTAAGCAGTAAATAACTGTCAATTATTTAGAATTAACAAGGAGATTTTCGGCAAATAATGTTTATTTCTCTTTAAGTACACTGATTACATTAGGAAGTGGATTCCTAGAAAACAATATGGGCGACATTGGCTGTCGTAAAGACTTCCTACAGTTAAAAACGGAAAAATGGCCTCTGAGTGTTTGCATCACTCCAAATCAGTTGATAAATTCTAAGAATGAACACGAGTGGTCTTTTACCTTTTTTCTTTTAGAAATTATGCCATTTCAGAAAAGTTAGCCAAACAAATGACAACTTATCATTTAGGTTTACTGACTTTTCAAGGAAAATCTCATACATATAAACATTCATATTTGAAAGTATCTCACCTACAAATTTCTCTCAGAATAAAGCATCCAATTTATACTTTATCCATTCCTTTTAAACTTGACTATGAAGACAGATTCTGTTGAATTGTATATATATTAATGGAATAGTTCATGAAATATATCAATGTAAGAAAGCAGGTTGAAGAAATAATAAGATTAACAAGCAATTAAAACACAACACAACATGGCGATGATTATTTTTTGAAGATAATATACAACTGGGTATCTATTGGTGGGAAACGAAACCTGATGCGACCACTCACCACTCGTATTCAACGCTTATATGGTTCTGATGCTATGAATAAAAGTTTAAATCTTCTTAGAAAAATCTTAATCGAAAATGGATTTCCTCCACGCTATGTTAGACAGGAAAATACAGTGAAAACATAAAAAATGGGATTTAACGTCTGTAATCAAGAAAATGCTGTATATGAATCTTGATTTCAATGGTGACTTAGCTGCTGGCATCCTTAAAAGTAAGGCCCCACATTCCTTGAAAAGGATATTCGCTGCTCTAAAGGAGCAAGGTACGCTGGTCGTTCAATGCGGTTTTCGTCTTAGAGGGTGTAAGAACACTATCCTGCATGGTTATTAAGAGGTGGACATAGGTGCATAAAAAGTGCAGTAATTGAATATCTGGTCTATAATGGTCACGATATTTCTTCACCATTTTCCTTTAAAGTTATTTAAAAGGTGAAATATCACTTGTCCAAATCACCACGTTTCCAATTCATCTGCACTGCTGAAGCTTTGGCTATCGAAGTGGAAGGGCTAGACCTTAGAATACAGAAAATTTCTATTTTACCACTTCTTCTTTCATTGTTTTAACCAGACGTCATTCATACTTCGGCACTATCTATTTTTCGTTTTGTTTATTAAGTTTATTCATTCTTTCATTAGGTAGTCTGTTGTTATTAATTTCACTTTGCACCTTTTCTGGTATTGTAAGGCATGTCAGTTTTATTTATTGAATTCAGTATAATTTGTTGCGATAATGTCTTATCGTAATTCTGACGTAAGTGAACTGTGGTTCGACTGCGTACTAATTTTATTATTTCCACACACCCTTTTGAGATTTACGCATTTCATGAACTGTTTGACAAAGTACTATACAAATTATATCTTATCACTCTTCACATGATTATTAAAAAGATGCATCTATTTACTTTTTATGGTACAGTTTCAAATCACACAGTGATCACATCGAGACTGAATAGAAGCTAACTGTCAAGTACTTTAGTAAATTAATAGAGTAGTGTTCGTTGTAGATTTCCTTATCGAACTAGCTTTATTTTAATATAGTCAACAAATTTATTTAGTTTAGTTTGAGGTGATTTGACTGGCAGATTGGTTTCAACGCAGGACTTTGCACAGATATGCAGCAGTTCGAGTTGCCATTCTCTGTGTAGCACATAGAGCAATGGAAGACAGTGAAGAGAGATTCAGAAGAGATATACTAAACAGAAGTGTGAGGGAAAAAGAATAGTAATATGGAAGAAAAATAGAGGTTTACAGGACATGGTGAATTACAAAGAGGGGATAAATCTGCTCCTTCGGGCACATTTACACATCCAGACTCTGTTCCTACCGTGGCCAACCTTGGATTGAAGATTTCTGTTTTCACCAAGAGTGCTCCTTTCCCTTAACCCTCTTGGTATTTTTTCTTTCCATTTTTCACTTTGCTTATTATTATAAATATTATTATTACAGTTATTATTATTATTCGTCATAATTTATGCCCTTTATGCAAACATTCCCTCAATACTATCGAATTTTCATTTATACGAACTTATTATTAGTGATATTATCTGTTTTCTTAATATATGCCTCCACCTGTTTCATTTCACCTACTCGTTATCTCATTATAAACTTCTCATTCCAGTCTTACTATCTCCTGTTTAACTCAGACCACTTTGTACTAGCTACTCACCTGACCTGACACCTTTTATAACCTTGAACTGATTTGTCAATTTTTCTACCCCACAGTCAACAATTCTATTATGATTAATCACCACCATTGTCTCCCATTTTACAATATTTCCAATCGATTTCAGCCTAGCGCGTTTGGCACACATATATGACTATTTATTTTGACATCCCAGTGGATGCGTACTGCCGATGATTCCCAAACTAGGATGAAACAGCAGCTGTCCAGTACTCCCTGGTTTTCAATGCTTCTCTAACTCATATCAATCCGTGATCAACTCGTAAAAACATAACAGACCCTTACAAACCAAACTATAGAAAACCCTATAACTAATCTGTTATTCAACGTTAAAAATGCATCCGCCGCATAACTGGTCTTTATTGTGACGACCACAAATATTATATTTTATAATTGTAAGAATCTGAAGAGAAATTATTGGAAAGAATATTCTTCATTCATATCATTAAAAAGTTTGAACATTGTGGATTAGACCAAATAAAGTATAATTATATTTTAATAGTTTACACACAATGATAAGTTTTGTTATTGGTAATTTTGCTCGAAATATTACCAATAACAAAACTTATCATTGTGTGTAAACTATTAAAATATAATTAAACTTTATTTGATTCTTCGTTCAGGTTGACTTTTACTCTGAAAAGGCTGAAATAATTCCAGTGTGAATCATTATAAAAGCTTTTGTATTTCCCAATGAATGAGAAACAAAACGATATTGTTTTTCTCACTGACGTTTCACTATTTAATGCTGCAGCTAATAGCTTTGTCAAAATGCATCAGTGGCACAGTGGTTAGGACTCTCGCCGACCATGCACATGGTCCGCGGTTCAATGCCCTGCCGAGGCACACCTGATATCTATGGTCGGCCTGCAAAATTTTGGCTACCGATACCACATGCTGAAAATTCCATACTTGTACCAAAAATACAGTGTGGAATCAAGCTGTAATAAAAAAGGTTATTAAACTAGAATTCACAAAACCTCAGCTTATATGTATCAACTTAATTATAGTTCCTCAGCATGGGGTTGGGGACATTTTTGAGTAGTCAAGTTGGCCAATTGGTAAAGATAAAATCAGGTGTAGTTTGTTGCATTTAATAAGTATTTACGATTATCAAAGCAGCATGTGTTTACATAATGAAATTTCTTACCACATCCCTGTTAATTTTGCCATTTCATGGGCGACGAGGATGTTGTAAACAGGTCAAATTCTGTTTTAGTCCATCATTCCTATCCAGACAATTTGGATTCCACTTGATATTAAGTGCTTCTAATATTAGACGTTCTTTGTTATTTCTGAAATTTTTCTGGATTATTTTAATATTGTCAAAATCAATTTTGTGACCTGCTATTATAGAGTGTAGACGTATGACCGATGATTTTTCAAGCTTTTTTAGTTCAATTGGATTTCTAAGTGGTCGAAGAGATGCTCTACGGTGTTCATTTCTTCTTATTTTGATTCCTAGGGATGTATGTCCAAAGTGTATCGCTGATGAACGATGATTAAGTTGTTATGTAAAAGCTGACATTTTGTAAATTGTGGTTTAATAACACTTTGATAAAGCTATTAGCAGAAATAAATAGTGAAACGTCAGTAAAAACAATATCATTTTGTTTTTCATTCAATGGGAAATACAAAATCCTTTATAACAATGAATATCACATACCCAATGCCCGAATTTTTTCAAACTGTTTAAAGTGAACTGGATTCGGACTTATATAACCCAATGTGAATTATATTAAAATGAAGGAATGTTAAGAACATTGAAAACGTATTAGGTGGGGGATACTGAACAACTTCTTGGGGATTTCTCAACGATGTATAACCATTACTCTACCACATGTGAGACTATGACCTTCAGAGTGAGATGCCAGCAGGCTTAACCACTTATATAATGTTTTGGATATTTGGTGGGGTCGAATGCGCATTTTGTTAATGACTTCCAAACCAGAAGGTTTTAGGTGTTAACTGGTGTTAAATGTCACACTGAAATATTTGAGATGTGTTGAAATTGTTGATTTCCAGCATGTCGATGGTATGATTATTTGAATTATGGTTATATGAACCGTTTATTGGTAAATATTGACACAAAGTTAGATAGTTTTTTACCGTTACATTCTGAGATATTGGCAAACTGATAAACAGGGGAAGTACAGAAATTATCCTTCATTATTTTCGCTGATAGTTAAAATATTTGACAAATATAGAAAAAAAGTATTTCCTAGTGATACTGAAGACCAGAATAGATGTATGCTTACAACTCTAGATTTTTTTTCAATCATTTAATCAATACTATTTAGTAAATATCAAATTGTATTAAAAATAAGGTATTACTTGATCTGTCCACTCACTGAATAGGTATCCGATATTCAATGAATAGCATATAAGAATTTTAGTTGAAATAGTTTTTTCTACAGGATGAAGCTCACTTAGACTGCTGTACATCAAAACCTAATGATCAATCTAATGTTATTTCTGAAGAAATTAAAGCTTTATTCTCTGAAATACTAACCTCCATTACCTAGTGAATTTCATACAGATATTTTACATGTAGACACAGTTATTAAAGGAAAACATAAATTCACGGTATGCTGTTTTCATCACATAATCATTGTATATTTTTATTATTTGGTTTTAAAGGTTTTTGGAAACATCAAAACTGATCCACATTCTCAGCTAAATAATCATAATAATTTCCAAACTTTTGGAGATGGTATACTGTTGTTATTCAGGTGAGTTACTTTTGTTTTTTTAATGAGGTCATTACAATAGTAGCCTGTTTGAGAAAAAAATGTTAAAATGTCCACGTTTTTATTAGCTAAGAGCTTAAAATATCAAATATCTGTCGAATATACATCTAGGGATGAAAGCTAACTATCGATTCCTTAGAAGATTAGAAGTATTCACATCACATTACTATTTATTTTATTTGATTGCATGGAGGATTTAATCATGAGCTGACCTCAGTTAGAGAACCACTGGAAAACCTGGAAGTACTGGACAGCTGTTTCGTCCTAGTTTGGGACTCTTCATTTGTACGCACCAACCGGGATTCAAACCCAGGCCCTTCTGGTTACAAGGCGAGCTCGTAGACCATTGAGCCACTGGGACCACGATGGTCTACGAGCTCGCCTTGTAACCAGAAGGGCCTGGGTTCGAATCCCGGTGGGTGCGTACTGATAAAGAGTCCCAAACTAGGACGAAACAGCTGTTCAGTACTCCCAGGTTTTCCAGTGGTTCTCTAATTGAGATGAGCTCATGATTAAATCCTCCATGCAATCAAACAAAATCCCTACAAAACCAATACTTGAAAATTTATTTTATTATTAACTGCTTGTGTTCTCTGTGGAACATAGCGCTTTAGAGGAATACCTTCACTGCACTCGGTTCTCGGCCAGCACTTTTAGCATGCTCTACGATTGCCTAAAAGGTTTTATTTGTCCTTTATATAATGTTTCTCACCTTACGGTCAGATGTCCAACCGATCGCTTCCCGATGGCGCCCTACTTGAGAGATCTGTGTTCTCAAGTTTCTAAATCTATGGGGACGGATTTTTACTGCATTTAGGTGTTAGCCACTTATCTTATTCCCTATCCCCCCGGGGTATAGGAAAGATTAATAAACTAGCCGAGGTCACATTGCAATATATATCTGCTAAAAGTTATAAATGAATCAAAATTGAATAAAATGGGAAACGACACGACCGAAAGACATCAAGACATCTCATCATTGGCTTGGAGGTGATACACACTCACCTGTCACAGTAATTAATTACGAGATGAGTGGAAGTAACATGATTTGTTATAAATATATGTGAACAGTAAGAATCTACCCTGTAATGAGTGAAAACTGAGAGCTGTTTCACGAAGATCCAGCCATGGTAGTATTTATTAACTTAAACATACTTGTATATACTCTGGATGAAATATGAAGTGAGGAAATCAAAAAGAGACCTAGGTCATGCTTCACTCTCATTGGTTTTATACACCAGTGATATTTAAATCTCCGTTACAAGTTCATATACATATGGAAATATTGTATTACATAGTAAACTTCATAGCTAGATAGAACCGCATGAAAAGTTCAGTGAAATTCAGTAATTGATTTGGATATTTTCTGAAGCAGTAATCTTTTATCTGAATATGGGCTGAGTCCAATACTATCCATCCATTGCATTACGGTCTGTTAGCATACGACGTTTAAATCCCACTAGTTTACGATATTTTGCCATCACATCGAATATAATGGGTCAGGAACTATCTTCACGAAGAACTTTGTGAACCGCACTTGTAAAAAACGTGAGACATTGATTGTACATGGCTAATATTGCAATAATCAAACAACTATAGTTCATTCATACACCATATGGTAGAAATTACGATAACAATGAGAATAAAAGAGGTGCTAAGACACTCAGGAGTTCCAGTAAGAGTTGTAGGTACAAGCAAACTGTTATGTGAACAAACAAATTAATCCATGGATGTATAACGTCACTGTGTGAGCAAGACACAAAACTCAAAATTAGATGATTGTAACTTGAAAATAACAACGTGTACTCAACACCGTAGTATGAGGTTGGTTTTGTTCATATCAAAGTTAGGATGTATTCGTTTGGTTAATAAAAAATGAATTATCTACGGCTTTCCCTTTGCATGGGTTTCTTTTATGTCTTAACTGACCTCAGCTGTATTTTCTGTGTTGGTCAGATTCCTGATGAAAGTGTTCAAGGATTCTAGCAGATTCTCCTTAGTTAGTTCGTCCATTTACTCACTTTTGGAAGCACATGAAGGCCCGTAGATACAATCAGAGTTGAAATAAGGAATATTCTTAGGAGTCATGAGCATTTTTTTTATCATAAAATGCCATTAAACTGGCCACCAAAAAGTTCCTTTTCGGTGCACATCTGACCTTTTCCATTTTATTAGTGACATCTCTTTGTCTTTGCGCATGTTCTTAAGATAAGGATTTGTGGACAGACTTGAGGAAACTGAACGATGTATTCCCAACTAGCTACTCATTAGTAACTAGGGTGAGGACGGCCTTTTTGAATTTCCTAGGAAAATTTGTGTGAACAGTAAATTCCCATTGATGATACTGGATGTCAGTGGTTAAATATCCGCAAGTAACAAAAGTTAACAACTGTGTCTCATCCCGTCACTGTTTACATAACTGGTGAGTAGTAACGTCATCAGTTCATGATATGAAGCTTCGAAATCAGCCAATTCGCCACTGCACCAATATGGTAAATAAGGAACATCTTCGGGGAAATTCGTTTTGAGAGCTTTCTCATTCACTTCCATGAAGTGAAGAGTCAACAATAAATATCAGCATATAAATATTTAGTATAAAACTGTTAGACTGTCATCTCTAGACATCAATGAATACTCTAGGCTAACGAATTTTCCTATGGTTTTCTAAGAAAAACTGAAATTTGGTTAGATGTTCATAAACGTTCTAACACATAGGAGTACGGGACTACTTGGATTAGTCCCAGTTGCCAGGTTAACTTTATCCACGGAAATTCTCTATTATGAGCCTGGTTTCGCACTTATTAGAGTCCGTTCAATTCGACAAGGGGATGGAAGTTCAGTCCTGCTGACGATTTGTCGGTTGGATCCATATATATATATATATATATATATATATATATAAGTCGTTCTTCAAATAAGTGGTGTATATAAGCCAATAAAACCACAAGACTATGACTGCAAATTCAATTGAAAGACGAAGTCAAAGTTGCTGTAATAATGAGCGAGTACAAGTTCAGCGTCACTCCCTCAAATTCGTAAAGTATCACTTCTATATTAAATAAGTTTTTCTATATTCCAATTCGCGTGTTTATTCAACAGATAGTTGTTTTACACGCGTTTGTTCCTATTTCAAAAAACAACTCTATTCACCATCTTACGTAACAATTCATATTAGTACACTACCAAGTATTATTAAGCTAGGTTGCCAGGATACGCTTAGATATTTTACAACAACATATTTCATTCTATTTCCTGTTTCACTAAACACAGTTGTACTGATAACGGTTTGTTACTTTCTTAGCCTTAGGCTATTTTAACATGCATTTCCCCCTTGGCAGCTCAGATGTCGGTGAATTGAAACTGACTTAATGTATAAGGCATTTACAATGTACGGTAAAAAAAACTGTCCTACTTTGTAGTTTTTTTTGCTCATACGACAAACGAATATGAACTTCGTTAGTGAAGTAAGTAGCTTAATGATATTTTAAAAAGAAAACAGGAAATAGAAGGGAGAGTTGAACGAATGAAAACTTAGCATCAAGATGATAACAATAAGGAAGTGTAATAATTATAGAATTGAAAAGTTTTATTGGGTTATTTAAAAGTATGTAGGAAGAAATGAACACTGTAAGATGTTCATATTGTTTCCCTTAAAGATAAAGAATATTCAGATATTAAATTTAATGAGTTGATTTTAGGGATCAGCCAAACAATTTTCTGCATTCACAGATCAGCAGAAAGAATAAGAATCTAAAAATATTATGGTGAAAGTTATGATATTTTGTCTTTCTCTACCCAAAAAATTACCTTCCAGTCATTATGTCTCTATAGGTGAGTTAGGTATGTCTCTGCAACAATGTGCACCAACGACCTTCAGGTTACGCTGAGAGTCCACTGACCGTCTATCTATTGTTTCAGTACCCTATGACCGGTGAATTTTGACCTCTACTAGCAATACAGTACTTTGGTAGCACAGCGGTTAGGACTGTCGCTCACCATGCACATGGTCCAGGGTTCAATTCCTGACCGACGCGCACCTGATATGAATGGTTAGCTTGCTAAAGTTGGGTTACCAATATGAGATGCTGAAAATTCCATAGTTGTACCAAAAATACTGTGTGGAATCAAGTTATAATAAAAAAGATACAGTGCCAGTGTCAATCAAATGTCACTGATGAGCTCCTACTTCACATCTGACACGATAGTCACTGTCAGAAATAACTTTTTATTAAAACTCAAGTAGATTAGCTACCATTAAAGTGGAATTTCATGTTACGTAAAGTTTTCGTTAAGTTTCAATGTGGATTTAATCACGAACCAATATCAATTCTAGTTGTAAACGACAGTTGTTTCACCATAGTTTGGGATTCGTCTGCGGTGTGAAGGCACAACCTCACCTGGAGCAACAAAAGCCATCATATTCGTATTGATGATAGCGGCTGTAACTAGCAAAGTTAAGATTTAATGAGAATGAAGAATGAATAAATACCCTCTTCTCAATTAGACCATAATTAAAATTGTAACACCACTATACAGGATGATAGAATATTTTGAATCGGCTACTTATTGGCAGTTATCAGGAATCTTCCAATAATGCACCTACAATAGAGTTTGATTGAATTCATATTATAGGATAGCGTTTCGAAATGTTAATTTTTTCGTAAAGGATTCTTCTTCAGCATTTTATTAGAATTGTGTTGATAATGTCAAGGGCTGCGAAGATGTATTTCTATGGAATCACAGTTTTCACCGCATATATATATCGACATGAAATTTAGAAATTTATAGGATATTCATTCCTGCTTAGTAGATTCATGATTTTGCTAGTATTTGCGCCTATAGGGGTAAATATTAGTTGCAGAAATCTTCAAGATCATCTCTAAATGGTTGGGTATAGGGTGATAAAAATTAATTCAAAGTTGCAAACTTTCAATTCCAGTAGATTTTGGGACTCTCAGGCAAAATAAATAATTTTCAGAATG